CTGCTTTCCTTTGTTTAATGTTTGCATGCTATATCTTTTCCCATGCTTTTACTTTTCAACATGCCTGTATCATTATATTTGAAGTGAATTTCTTGTAGATAGCTTAAAGTTGGATCATGTTTATTTAATTCACTCTGCCTATTCCTGTCTTTTACTTGGTGTTGGAGGTGCTCTTCTCTAATGGAGTTCTAGGAAGGCTGGGATTGTGTCTGTAAGTTCATTGCCAAGTTGCTGCCTGGCACACAGCTGGCTTTCAAGAAATCCTGTTGATGGAAGGAGTGAATGACACGCCCCTCCCTTTCTCCCCACTCTGCCCCAAGACTCCCCCTGCCCTTCTCTTCATGTGCCTTTGACACATTTTATTGACCAAGTGCCATGAAGAGGGCATTGGCTAATGGCAACAATCATCACAATAACTAGTGCAGTAGGTTGAATAATGGCCCCCAGAAATATTTAGGTCATAATCCCCAGGACCTTTGCATGTTGCCTTCTTTGGCAAAAAAGGGACTTTGCAGATGTGATTAAATTAAGGATATGGAGATAGGAAGATTTTCCTGGATTATCCAGGTGGACCCTAAATGTAATTGCAAGTTTCCTTATAAGAGGGAGGAAGAGGGAGTTTTGACTATAAGCGGGAGAAGCTCATGTGGTGACAGAAGCAGAGATTGGAGTGATGTGTTCTCCCCTCAGAGCCTCCAGAAGAAACCAGCCCTGCTGACATCTTGGTTTTAGCCCAGCGAAACTGATTTCAGACACGTACAAAGATAAACTTATGTTGTTTTTAGCTGCCAAGTTTGTGGTGACTTGTTACAGCACCAATAGGAAACTAATACACTCGTACTGACTGAGTGCGGTCCTGCAGGCTTTGCCTATGTCAGTTCAAGTAATTCTCCCATGGCTCTGGGAAGTAGGTTCTCTGACTGCCACACTTACGGCTGCAGCATGTTGAGGCTTAGAGAAGCCTGGGGTCACACAGCTCACTGGGGTGGGAGCAACTCAGGCTGGTTTACCCATCAGCTGCTGAGCTTCTGTTGTAGAAGGGGAAGGTTACAGATATGGGTGAAGCCCCCTCCAAAAACTTCCTGGCTTCAAAATATAAATGGTAAAATGGCAAAATTGAAAGTATTCAAAAGCAAAATCATTAGAAAATCCTTTTCTCTAATTTTTTTTTTTTT